AATGTTATAAAATGTCTAATTCGGTATGTATGGTGGTGTATAAATTAAAAACTAATTAACGCTGGCTCTAATTAGCCTGATGCTAAAAATTTCAAACGAAAAGTATACGAGACAAGCAAAAGATTGATACTACCACTGACTGCCATTGCAGCTGACTAAATGACAAGAAGAGAGGAAAAAAAACCGTCAAGAGATTTAATGGAAATGGTGAAAAAAATCGCGTCGAAATTAAAATGGCATTCGAAATTGTTGGATTGGCGAACGAGACAACAGCTCAGTTGAAAAGTCTCTCTGGCCAAAACTCTGATTTTCAACTGTGTTCAGACTGTTATGTGCACACTTTTTTCCCTCTTTTTTCTTGTTGTTGTTTGTGCCTTGTTTCTTTTTTCATCAAAAAGCGTAAATGAATGTAAACACGAGAAAAAAATACAAGTTTTCCATTCATGTCCGGAGTTTTGATCGTTGTTTGTTTCCTCATCGTTTTATGCATTTGAAATGTATTTTTTTTTTCAAGTATTCTATCAGTTCTTCTTGATTCATTTGTATTCATTCCAAGTGATATACTTTTTAAATGCACGACTGAATTTTGTAATAGATACAGAGCACATCGAAACCAATACTGGAACTGCAACGAAAATGTTAAGAGCGCTCGCTGTCAGAGCGAGAAATGGCATCGAGTGAACAAAAAAAATAGTAGCAAGCTTTACATAGATACATGATGTGTTTGTGTTTGTGTATGTGTGTACAATCTAAAATGGAAAGCAAATGAAAAACTCTCAAAATGTCATTCGTGTTCATCGTTGACTAGTTGAACTTGGCCAAACAAATCGTTTGTGTGTATCGAGCATAGCATAAGCAATGTAGTGATTCGTGCGCATAAGTCAGATTTGTTCAGAAAAGCATCGAACACGATTTGCTGCTATTCACTTTCCACTTGACTGCTATCGAGTACAAAGACAGAAAGAGAGAGGAAGAGAGAGAGAGAGAGAGAGGAAAGGGGAGAGAGAATAAGAATGGTGAATCATTGCAAAAATAAACAATATTCTTTAAAGCTCAATCGGATCGAATCCCCAAATGACATTGTCTGCAGGTTGCAGTCTGAGGGGAGAAACGGCGATTCGGGACACTATAAAATTCAATCGGGAAATGTAGACGATTTTAATTGGTTAAGTGTTTTTCCTTAATTAATTCCAATCATCAGAATTAAAATTCAACCCCAACTATTTTCAATGGCCAATCTCTTGCATTCTCTCGCCGTCTCCGTCTGGTTTTTCTCTCTTTTACTTTTGCAAAGGGCAAAAGTTAAAGAATTTTATTATCGAATATGTCTCTACTCTCTCAATATGCTCTCTATCTCTCTCTCTCTCTCTCTCTCTCTCTCTCTCTCTCTCTCTCTCTCTCTGAGGGAATTTCACTCTGTCTCTGAATGAATTTATTAGTTTCCGAAAATCTGAAAGTTTTCGAACAGCTCGCTTCCATTTTTAACATATGGTGTTGGAGAATTTTTTTGCATCACTTTTTTTTACTGTTCATTTCTTGTGAACGATAGCTCAAAACTTCCGCATAAAGTTTTGAAACGATAAGCTTTTTCGCATGAAGAATAGAGAGGGATTGCAATAAGAACTTTGACATGAATTCGGTCGGACACGTTAAATGAACATGCGATTCACTTTAAAATGAGAAGCAACCGTATCACGTAGCATAAATACTTAACGAATGTTGGCACTTTTTCATCACATATATATCCTTCAGATCTCGGGTCGATTCAATTCTGCTTCGGTTCTACTTTCATCTCATTTCATTGGCTCTCTTTTTCTCCCGTACAATACCGCATGAATTATTTACCATTGGCCAGATTCCAAACACAGCATTTTTTTATTGTATTCTGACCCAATTTTATACATCAACATATAAAAAAAACAAACAATTGTGATAGAGAATGAGAAAACAGAAAACACCAACAACAAAAATGATAATAAAACAAAATATACGGAATGGAAAACAATCAGCCAAGTAAGCTTCTTTCGATGACTGATGCTATTTTTCAGGATTCACAAATTCTTTGGCCATTTCTATTTCTTGAGAGCAAACGAGAGCCAAAAGATTGTATATTTTTTAAGGGCCAATGCTGAATTTGTTTAACCTACCATTCGAAATAAAAAATGGAGCATTTCAACTGTAAACTGCTGAACTTTACAATTTTTCCGTCTCCTATTGTGTACAAAAGGCCATTCACAGCCCATGGCTTTCGAAATTGTAACTTGTTCTGTAAATAACAACGAAAAAAGAATGAAAAAAGATTACGTTTGATATTTAGAAAAAAAAAGTTTTTTGTTGGGCTGCTGATGAACGGCTGTGTGAACGATAAATAGACATCTCTTACGACAATTTCACTCCCTCCCGTGTTTCATCTAAACCAGTTTTAGAGCGAAAGTTTTTGGACAAAAGTGTTTTTGAGCCCAAGCAAACAGCGAAATGTGCAAAATCAGATGATGGAAATGAACGCATAAGAGCTGGTTGCTGCTCGAAGGAAACAACAAGTTTCTCCAAATTACAATTTATCACGAGTAAAATTGTTGACGCTTTTTGTTTGATGTTCGTGACTTTGTTGTGTATTTTTTTTCTCGGTCGAATCGATACTACATTTTATCTCATACAGACGAGCACAAAAATTTACTTCGAAGTGCTCCGATTTTTTTGTTACATTCACTTTGCGAAAGACATGTGCAAAGACATTGCCATGCAAAAAGTCAATAGATGTAGAATAGAAAGCATCAAAAGGTTTTTAGGTTTTCATTTTGATTATTTTGCATCGCTTGATTTACGGATTCGACATGAAAGCCATTTTTTTCTGTTGTTTGAAACTCCATCGACAGAAAACCGGAAGCATTAAATCAGTTGAAATTGTCTCACATCGACCGCGTGTCATGGTGTACAATGCAAATAAAATGACTTTCGTACTGTCAAATGCTTAAATGTATTTGCGTAAATCGTTTGTTTTCTCCTTGTCCTTTATACGTTCATTTTAAACTTAAATGGGTATTATAGCATAGCTCAAATGCTAAGCCAAAGCCATTGGCTAAACGCTTTGGCTAAATCACGCACCCACCCATTCCAGCGCAAGCATAAAATAATGGAAGATTTGAGAGCATCGACACCTTTGCATTTTCATTGTTTGTTATGTGCCGAACCTCATACCATAACTGCAGACGTAATAAATTTGCGCGCAGGCAAGCAAACTGAATTGCGCTAGACAAACAAAAGGACGATAGAATGTGTATAATAATGAAATGGGAGGGTGACTCTATTCTCTCTTTACTCTCGCTGTCCAAATAATCGATATCGATGTGATGTGATGATATTTGCTTGCTGCTATTGCTACTGCAGTAACAAATGCGACCCATTCTATAACCCTCGCACACACAAATTTTACTAATTATGCAAAAATAAATATCGCACCGCCATCCATACTAGTAGTTTCAAGCTGGATGTAAAACCCGTGTGCCCAAAATGACATTCGACATTAAATTTAAAGTGAATTTTGCGTGACTTGAATGTACAGCACCGAAATTTAATTCCATTTTTTGGGGGGCGGATTTTGGGGTTCATAGGCGATGAGAGATGAGAAGAGGAAGTGTCACAGAAAAGATTACAAAAACAACATTTTTTAATGTTTCGATTTATTTTTAATCCGAGTTTTTGGTTCAGAGAGAGAGAGAGAGAAAGAGAGAGAGAGAGAGAGAGAGATTGGGAGAGAGTGAGAGTAGTATATTACAATGCCCAAGACAATGGTAATTGTTCTGGATATGCAATGCAGATGGCCAAAATTTACGAGCAGTAAATGTTTTAGGAAAAAAGGTAAGGTTGATTTTAATATGCGATGAATGGTCGATTGGCTTAAGTTTGTAATGAAAAATCCGTCACATCGATATATACACTAAATGTGGATACACAGAAAACGTTTTTTATTTTCTACATTGTTATTTATGTGATTTTCATTCATTTTGTAGATGCGTTGGCATTCGTTCACTGCCACACAAATGATATCATTGTCGAATCGAAAGCTAGAGATTTTAAACGGCGATTACTGTCTTTTTTTTTGCTCTGTTCTACATGTTAATTTTTCATTGTTATTTTTTTAACAATCCCAAACTGCATTTACATATTGAACCCCTTGGTGTAGGGAAAAAAGCCAGCCAGTCACTTTAATTGCCATTTGTGTTTAATATCTGTTGAGCTTAATGGCTTGTACAATGAATATTGAGCCCATGGTGAAAATGGAGAAAATAAACTCCCTCAACAACATTCCATAAGTTGACAAACATTCAATGTTGATTGTCTTTCTCTTTCTCATTTCTAATAACAATACATTTCGATGTGAAAGTTTTATTGTGAAATTTGTGCGAATGTGCGACTGAGTGTGTTCAACTGTTCATGCTCAATTCAAACAAATCGAAAAACATGTCTTTGCAATTTGCGTCTAAATGCGTGCTCATTGTGATTTAATAGCATTCAACAATACTACGAACGATTATGAAAATGTTCCACCGAAAAAGGGGTTATATTCATATTAATTGTGATTTATGTACGACGTATGTTTGCACAATTCGTCTGCCACATTGTTGCCGATACACGTTGCCAGCCAAAGTATATTCATCGAAGCGTCGCTTTCTCGTCCGTGCTCAAATCGCATACGAATGAATGAGCGTAAGCTTGAGAATGAGAAACAAAAATATAGACTTTATAATGATAACAACTATGACTATCTAAGCAAACATTGAAGGTATATACGCTCCGACGATATTGAAAATAGCGTTATTATTAACAATAAAATTTATGCGAATGTTGAACACGTTATACATTTCTCAAACTGCAGTAATAACCGGATTTTACACGATTCAAGACGTATTAAAGCGAACTTACATGAAACTTACACGAATTTACCTTTTCACCCTTCCAATTCATTTGATTCTTGACGCTGGGAAAATGAAATCGATTAGTTCATTTTAAGCACGGTTGAAGCTAAATTTTATTAAGACATTTCTACTTGTACTGAAATCTGACCAAACGGACATCATATTTAATTAATAAAGTTACATTTGCTCTTAATGAAATTCATGCACTTTATGCAGTTACATGCAAAGTAATATATAAATAAAAATCATTTGACCGGTGTCCAGACAGGAAATGGGGTTTTAACGGACGAATAGGGTCTATCATCCAGATAACCAGTTCGGCCACCAGCCATCGCATCTTCTAACGCATTATTCATTTGATCCAATTCACCCTTCATATTCGCTATTAATCGATACATTTTATCTACCTGTGGCGGAAGTTCATTTGGATGGTTACGAACAAGCGGCTTTTTCTGTTCACAATCAGGTGATGGTGGATTACAAATGTTATTGTCTAAAATTTAATTCGAAAAAAAAAATGAATTGATAATTTTTTAGACATAAATATTAATCAAATGAATCGATTTCATTGCAGTTTCGATACTCACTTGCTATATTTTGTGCACTTCGAATGGGCATATAACTATTTTGATATGGCGGTATTGAATTAACGGTGATATACTGAGCTGGTGGTTGAACAACAACGATTGGCTGTTGCTGTTGTTGCTGGGGTGATGGTAAAAATGCACTCGATGGTGTAGTCATTTGTACTGACGGAGTGTATGGAAGTGGCGACTGTCTTCCCATTTCGCTCAACATAACACCAACGACAGCATTTCTCACTCGTGTCGAGTCCAATGTTGAATTCAAAAGATTGATGGACATACGATTTGTGTAATTCGTCAATTTCGTCGACACAGTATCACAATTATCTCTTATAATACTTCCTGTAAAACGATAAAATAGACACATTCATCACAAAATTTGTTTAACGAACAAATTTGTGCGCATTCTTTTTTTGAGAAAAAAAAAACAACGACCATATAATACCGTTTATACTAAGACACGTTCCGCACGATGTGATGAATGAAACGTTATTAGTGTCTGTATTGAATTTGCTTGTGTAAAAGCACATATGTGCCTCATTCAATGGGCACAGTACTGGTCCACACTTCACATTATCTGAAATTGAATTTATTTTCGATTGGATTTTTTCTTTCTTTCAAAAAAAAATAAAGAAAAGTAAATTGAAAAAATGTTCTCACCATCTATAATATCGATGATATTTTGTTCATCACCCCAAACCAGAGCGGCAACACACAGGCAAAAAAAACCAATAAAAATACGCCAACACATTTTAAGACTAAACAATTTCGACTATTTATTTTTTTTGGAATGGAATTTAAGACGTGTACACGATTCAAGTGGCAAATTTAAACTGAGATAAAACCAATTGCGGTGCTGAAAAGTAACATTGATTCAAGTTCAACTAATCGGCCTTGGATAGAAATAATTTCAAACAAATAAATGATATAACACGAAAAAAAATATATATATTTTTGAATAAATAAATTCATACAGATGTTTTTAAATGTTTGATTACAATTCTTTTGTGTCTTCCTGTTATTGTTCGCCGTGTGCGACACGTCGATTCCATTTATTTGTTGAACGGTGAATGTCATAATTACTTTTATTGATTTAAGTGCATGTATGTATTCATTGATTGAAACGCGTTCCACGAAAAATGAACGTACATTGTCTGCATTTGAACTTTTCAGAATGTTTTTTAAAAATAAATCCATTGTAAACGCTAGACTCTAACGGTTTTCAGTCTAGTCACTTGCTAACAGAATCACGAGAAACAAACATCGGCTTAGAAATTTATGGCGACAGTTTTAGTGAAAAAAATGTCGGTCAAAAAACGCAAATGAATATGGATATGTCAATGTGTGTCTGGTTGCAATTTTAAATGGTCGGCAAGGCGTAACTTTTGTTGCCTGGTGAGTTAGAATAAGTTTTTGTCAATTTTAATCGAAAAAACCCCACCACACACAATTCATAAATCATACATTGTTATTGTCGTTTTCTACTTCGACATCAAACAAATGAATCGTTTGGCTCATATAAATTGCGGCCGGATTTCAATGGCTTTTTGCTGGTACTGGTGTGTTAGTGGTGGCAAAAATCAAACATCTTTTTCGATAAATCCTTTCTAAATCGTTCCCATGTGACTAGAATACGTTATAAAGTGAAATGTATGAAACAAAACCAAACTCAGCCCACATAAAGTGCACAATACGAACAGAGCAATGAAGAATGTAGGCAAGATAGATAGGAAAGCAGTCGAAGAGTGAGTAAAAGGGAAAAACACTATGTGAAAAGTTTTAAAATAACATATATCATACATTTCCTATCTAATTTACATTTCCGCTACTAAAAATAAATATGCATAAAAACCACATCTCATAATACCTATAACGAGCACTAATACAAAGCCCTTTACTTTACTGCCAGCCACATGCATTGTTTATATATACATGTGTGTGTATGTGTCATTTAGCATATGCGTATCGTTTACACAGTATTTGTGTGTTTATTTGAATACGATTCATTTCGTTCGGAATATTTCTCAAATTTTTTTTTCATAGATGTGTACATGTGTGTAAAATAAAATATTTCACTTTATGTTCACTCTATTACTCATACCACACACAAGTAACAATCAAAGCGGAGGAAAAACTTTTCTAGCAATAACAATTTGATGTGCTTTTTTGCTATCTCTTCGCTTGGTTCTTGCCGCTTTAAAACCAATTTTGCCCCAACCATGCTCAGTACACACAGTGTTTTTGAGTGTATATCGGTTTTGATGCGTGCGAGCATAAGCATTTGCGTAAATCCATACAGAAATTGTGCTTCTGTATTTGAATGTGTCAAAGTTTTTCCTTCGGTTTTGCCAATCTCTTTGTTGCCTAGATACATCTCAATGCTCGAGATTGTTGCGTTCAGTTTCAGTAGAATTCCATCAAATCAAATAATGCTTTCGAATTTTTGACATGGGATTTGGTAGACAATTTAAAAAGCCACCGCATTTAAATTGGCAACTTTGTATTTTGAATGTTTCGACATTTTATGACATCCAAACAAAATTTTCGCGGCATCAGAGATATTTATGTCTCAGTCCCTTTATACTGTTACTCGAAGCCCTTTTTACATACACTCTGTTTATGATTGTGTGCGCGTTTTATATTGCGAAAGTTTGGCTTGGTTTTTGCTCCAAACGATAATCCATACACACATTCTGGGTGCGAAGCGAAAACAACGCTTATCTATAATAAATATTAGCATTTATATTTCTGGATCAAAGTTGTTTTTCTCTTTTCACTTTATATTTGAGGGTTTTTTTTGCTGAAAATGATGACGAATGTATAAATACGAATGTCTGACTGGAAAAAAATATAAATGAATAAATCCATGAAAATGTGAATCAAAACCAAGGCAGTATCATACACAAATGTTAACTCTTTTTCTTGAATACACACATTTTCAATGAAATTTACTTAATAACATTACATTTCACAAAATTCACGTGAATGTTTGAAACTTTTTTTTCTGCTCGATTTTGACATGTTTGCAGCTTTCAATGGAACAAATATTTTCTTCATACACTTATGTGGATCGTTTATTGTTTTCGCATCGTTGGTTCATTCAGCGCACTCGGATCAATCTCCAAGGTAATCATGATGCCACATATTCTGTCTGCAAATGAAACTTGACAGTTTTATTGATATTTTCACCGCATTGTTTGGATTTTAAGGCTGTCTTTTTTCATACACTTTCTTGTCAAATTTAAAATTATATATTTCGCGAATTCTCCAATGTGACTTTGTTGATATGTGGAAGCGGGTGTGTATGAATGTCGTATCGTACAATTAAAAACGATTGTACTTACGAGTTTGATTTCATTTTTGCCGAAAATAAAGTTTCTTTGCATTTTCACAAAACTTTGCCGCTGTTAATTGTCCCAACTTTCTCTGCAAAGTGTTTATCTCATTTCCAAGTGCTTCGATGACGTTTTCGTCGTCGTCGAAGATGATGATGAAGAAGATTTATTCCTATTAATTCACTGGGATAATGAAACACTTGATTATGGTTTGCGGAGAACGAATTGAACACACTGAGAATCTCATTCCCTCGCGTTATTCATCGTTTAACTTCCAAACGTTGCGAAAACAAATGAACGTGAAATGTATGTGTCTACAGCACCGCAAACAACATCAAGCAGGCGCACGTCATGCAACATCATAAATAATCTTTCTTCCGGCCAACACATTTTCATTCCCCATGCTATTATCACTCTATCACTTCCACTGTACACAAGTGAAACGGCCACACGTGTGATTATACAATCTCCCCATGTATAGAACGAACTCGGAACAAAAAAACCTAATGAAACTTACCGAAGAAAAATGAGCTTGCATTCAAAGAAACGGATCTCAGTCACGTGGATTAGAAAAATGGAAACGAAGTGGGGAGGTACTCGGAGTTTTGGCGCTATAGTTAAGCTTAGTTTTTTTTTATAAATGTCCATCAAAGTAGTTACATTATCCTAAACATTATCTATGAAGTCTAAACATTACGAGGTGTATTCATAATACCATGAAATAGAGCAAACAGATCAAATTTAATAAATTACTTTTTTCTTGATATCACAAACAACACAACTCATTTCTAAACGATTCATTAGCTTCTTCTTCTTGGTTTTTATTACATTCTGCTTGAAGTTTTTTCTCGAAAAGATAAAAGTTATTTTATTCATTTTTCCAAGGAAAAAGATACAGTTTCCAATTTTTAGTTGAATATTTTATTCATTCACTTTCATTTATCAAGCGAAAAAATAACTTTTCAAATAAAACATCATTAAATATGTCCTTTCTCGGGTTTTTTGATCCGACTGGTTATGGTATTGCATTATTTCGTTGCTTTGGTGACTTTAAAGCGTTGATCCTTTCATTTGAAATTAAAATCGAGACATTTTTTTTGTAAAAAAACGTAAAATATAGAAATTCTTCAATGTTTTCTGATACTCACTCTCAATATTGCGCCGAAGCCGTCATTGGTGTATTGCAAAGGTGACACCGTATGATTGGTGGACCATAAAATTCTACTGGAACAAAGGAGATTATTGAAATGTTACAAACATGACAAATGCGTGTGACTTTAACAATTGGCTCCATTGCAATATTTATTTTGTGGAATATAGCTGTGGCTGCGATGATGAAAGCTCTGATATCTATTTTCCATCAAAAGACAGTATCCATAATATCAAAACGAGTATCGAATAACGAATGTTAAACTTTAAATTATGCTTACACAGTTGATTTTGCAGAAGAAAGAAATGATTTTTGAATATAAATAATAATAATGATTTGTTTTTAATCGATTTGAAAAACATTTTGATTTTATTTATGAACAATACAAAAACAGAACAAGAAGAAAATGTTATACTATTGGATTGTATAAAAATCACAAATAAAACATTTCTTCGTTGTGACATTTTGTAATGAAATTGTGATAAAAGTACAATGACTTGTTTGGTCTCAGAGTTGTGTTTGTTTTGAATCAAAACTTTTGATTAATTGGAAATTGTTATTAAAGTTGATTGAATTTTGGATAAAATCGAGAAAAATATAATAACACTATTCCTCTCTTCGTTTTATATTTTCTCCTTTAAAAAATGTTGACATTCTTTGTAGAAATGCCAAAGACACATTAAAATTTCAAAAAGAAATCGATTTATAAGGTGTAATTTATAAAATTTAATGAATCGCCTTTCACAAACGATCTATTTTATAATTATTGATATCTGAAAACATTTTGTCTTACCTTTTCATACTATGAGCTTGAATTTCAATCAACGGCTCTAGAGTTAAAATACATATCTACAAAAATATATATTTAACTTGGCCTTAGGATAGCAAGTATGCAAAACTGTATCACAAGTTCTTTGACATTTTCTTCAAATAATAAAAATTCGACTTTTGTTTAAAATAAAACACCAAAATTGCAAGTGTCGTATATTTTCATCAATCGAAAAGAAATGAGAAACAAATGATGATAAATAGAGTTTCAATAGGCCATAGCTGTTTCTTTCGTTGATGTTGTATGGCATGAAGGATCCTTCTGTGCTTTGCTTCACGGACGACTTGAAATTTAAAATAATGTATTGTCAATTACTAGCAAAAAACCATTTACGCTGAACTCTGATACTCACCTCATCTTCTTGACCAATGTCATGCGACTGCCACATTTATCGCAAACTCGGATGGGTATGTTCATGTCGGGTGTAATGGTATAGACTGTATGGCTACAATCTTGGCATTGACTTGTGAGAATTATTTCACTCATTTTAAAAATGTATATGAAGTTCGGTC